GTGCTGTGCACCGCGAAGCTGCAAGTCAATTGATCTCTGACCTCTTTGAATAAACAATAAGAATGGCACTTTAAAGAGTCCAAAACACAGCACACAAACAACGGTCATATGAGGAAAAATATAACGAATTGTTTGCTAGACATTGATAAGCATAAGACAAATAGAAGATTTCTTGAGATGTAGAAGCAGACTTCAAGTTGTGAGAAATGGGTTTTTTCAGTCAGTGGGGTATCAGAAATCGGAAACGAGCCCTGGAGGCAGGCGTCGTTATTGGAGAAGACACAAAGCCTGCAGCTAGTACGTCTTTAAAATCTCAGTGCTGTGCTTTAATTAGCACAGGTCTGAATAAAAGAATGATGTCGAGCTGCGGTAAACTGCAGCAATAAAAGGCATTAGATCAATATTTTACCATAATGACTGTGCATTTTTTTTTCCCCTTTTCTTTCTCCGATTAGCATTTTGAAAATCATGACAGATTATCTTGACGAGTGCACAGGGAGAAACAGCCCAAGAAGAAAGCTAGAATTTATTTTTGTTTGTTTTTCATTGTGGTTCAGTGGTAGGATAGTCATCTTGCAATCAGGAGGTCATAGAGTTTGTTCCAGTGTCCTTCTGTCAAATGGTGATGTGTCCATGGGAGAGGAATTTAACCCCCAACTTGCCTAACCATCTCCATATCGGTTTACTTCTCCAGGTGAATGTCCCTGTGAGATCTAAGTGGTGCAGAATGAAGTGTAGACCCAAACTGACCTCATCATCGGCCGACCTATTTGTCTGGGAAGCAAAATATTTTACATCTTTGGAGCATTTTTTGGAGCATTGCTCCAGTGTGCTTTTACCTCTGGTGGGAAACATTAATGCACAACATATTGGCATTCATATCAGTATCGGTTCAATAAGTAAAACTCAGCCAGTATTATTTAAAATTTCATGGGTTCTTATCATAGCTGACTGGGTGTGTGAAAACCACTTTCAGCCAAGCATCACCACACTTATGCACAAGGTCTCAGATCCACCAAGACTTTCTTGCCTCTAGCATTTTATGTTTGGTAAATATACACTGCACAGCTCTAACCCTATGTCATGTCATAAATCGTGTAAATTGTCAAAGAAACAGCATAAACCATGACTGGCAAGCTGTTTTATAGACGAACCACAATGGGCTTTGGCTTTAAATGTTTCCCTGTAGAAGTGCAGTGTAATCAAATGTTTTGATTCCATATTTTAATTTAATCAATTATTTGAAAATTAAATTTATAAAACATTTATAAAACATTGCCCCTGACCAGTGTTGTGCAACAACAGGTTGATTTGGCTGGGAATAACTTTCAATAAGTGCCAAGGGCAATTATTAATAGGAGGACCGACTTGGCTGTCGTGAATTCATGCATTGACCTTCTCTAAATGCAAGCAAAATTATGAATGCAATAGTCAAACTTTTAGTTAATAAAGTTCATATTATTGACTGAACTTCAGTCAATAAACTCATAAGGATAGCAAAATTCAGATAAAATATCTAGTAAAAAGAAAAAAAACTCATACTAAAAACTAAAAATTAAAATGGGAAAAAAAGAATAAAACTGCAACACGGATTAAAAAAAACAATATTATCATAGTTCACCATTAATATTTATTTTTCAGAAATCAATGTATTTTATGAGGAATAGATAATGAGGAAAATTTAACTGTGGCTAACAAAGAACAAGAATTGGTGTGGTCATTTCACTAAAACATGCCTGGGCAACATATTCTTTATGTTGTATTATCAACCATCTTGGTGACAACTTGAATGAAGCCAAGAACAAGCAAGACGGCAACACAAAAACCAACATAGATCTCACAAGATGGCGGAAGGGCAGCATGGTAATGTCACACCCAGACTTAGCGGCTCATCACACATCGACTAAAAGAGTGTATGCAGCACTATTTAGCAACCACAGCCACCACTAATATAAATATCAATATGATATTAATATCTGTCTGAACTCAGTAGTGTAATACAGGCAATTGCAATGTGGAGAATGTGAGCTGTGTTTAGCAAACTGACCTAATGGTTGCTACTGTATTAACATTAGCAGAGCTTCAGGAAGCTAAAAACTTTAGCTTTAGTGGCCAGGATAAGCACCTCGCATATCTATAAGGTTTATACAGGCATGTATTTGTGGGTTTGAGTGAGAGAAGAGGAAAACGAAACTTGACCAAAACAGAATAGGAAGACATTGAAAAAAAAAAAAACAGTGACTCTACCAGTCCCCAACTTTCCAAAGCAATTTAAAGCAGAATGAAGTAAAGCAAAACAACATGAAGTGAACAATACTTAAATTGTTATTCTAATGAATTAATTACTTTCTACTGGCACAGCCTACGATTGTGACTGTTGTGACGGGGTCAGCATGGGGCCAGAGAAGCATGGCGGCTGCTCTTGGCTGGAGTGAGCAAATTGCTGAGTCCTGGTATGCTAGCTCAGTGGACTGGGCAGTGGGCTCAATGCCGTCCTCTTCTGGGAATAGGGGAAAAAAATCACATCTGCACAGAGACGAGGCCTCTTCTTGGAGAATCTATGTCCAAATTCTGTAAAAAGAAGCTCAGCCAGCCAGTTTCAGATGGCTAGTCTTATTTTTGGCTAGATCATCAGATACAAAAACAGCAGATTGTGCTTTACTTTTTGGGTACTAGGATTTTCTTTCAAGATGCAATCTTTCACTTGGCCATTGAGCTCAAGATGCTCATACATGTATCCCTCCTGATGTAGGCAGTGGAGAGCTGCAGGTAAAAATGAATAAAGCTGTCGCGCGTACATTTTTGTAGCACTATGACATCATGTGATTTGAACCCGACAAGATCTCATGGTGCTAGTACTTGTGTAAGGCACCGCAAGTTGTAGACAGAATTTACAAATGAACCCTGCAAGTTCACATCTTTCATCTTGACTTGTCCTGCTGTGGTCTGCAGTAACTCACAGAACGTCAATAGATGAACTGTGGCAGGAAAAAGCTGGCCCACGAAAAAGAACAAATAACCCCTTGCTTCAAATATAATACTGTGATGCCAAGATGTACTAAGACAACCCAGAAGCTAGAATGTGCAAAAGATTAATCGATTAAAAAGGAGTCCCACTCTCTGAGGAGAGGCAAACAAAGATCGCCTTGTGAAGTCTCTTACAATCCTTGGCATTGTACGTCCGTATGTGACATTTACATTTTCTTTATTTCACTTTTGCTGGAGGCAGTTTAAGGGGGTATATTTATTTCCTTTAGTAGTGCAGGAGGCTCTGCATGCCTCTAATGGTTCTGTGTTTAGACTTAAGGTCGCGTTTTTTACTGTCTGTTCAAAGTTTAATTCCACGCTTGAAGGAGCCTCTTTGAAGCGCCACCTGACCCCAACCATTGTGGAGGACATTTTATTGATAAAGGCCTTGCTTTAGATTTAGTCCAGTTGCCTTTAAAGCCAAGTAATTTATTGATTAGAGAGTCTATTTCTGAAAAAAAATATTTTATAAGTTTCCTTACATAAACACTATGGTACATAGCAAATACACTTGTGCTACTCATGTCCCCTTTGGTATAGCAGATGTTAAAACAGCATGCATTGTGAAGCATGATTGATCCAGAAATAGCTCTATTGTTGTCAGTATGAATGTCTTTATTTCCTTTATTAAAATATTGTCAACATTCTTCTCCTTCTACCTTACTTAATATATCATCATAAATGTGTAATGAATTTTTAACAATCATGATAATTGCTCATGTATAAATAACATACGACTTCACATGTTTAATTCTTTTGAAGAAAATGATTAAGTTAAAGATTTAAACCCCTTTAAATGTTTGAAAGACTGGATGCGGTGCTCATTCTAAAGTTGTTTGTCATCTTACAAAGTATATCGGCATTTAAAAAAAAAGCCTTATATTCGGGTCTAAGCATGAAAAAAAAACATTGGATTTTGTGACATCATCTACACATGATGGAGAAAGACATGCCACTAAGCTCCTCTTTGCCCTTTGGTCCAACTTTAAGACCACCAAACATAATAGTTTAAGAATGTCTTCCATGTATCATTAGAACGTAACTCTCTGTTTTTGCTGTTTTGGGGGAGTCAGACAATGTTCTCGTTTGGATTACCAGGCTTGGATGCAGCTTCTTGGCTGTGAAACTCGTTCTGTGTGTGTTCTACTCACCATTAGCTAATCTAATGCAAACTTATCACAGTTTGTATCTCGCTATATCATCTTCCCACAGTACTGCTCAATCTGTTAGTGTAAACATGTTCCTTTATTGCTAGAACATAGAGTATTTAGAGAAATATGTAGGTTTGTTTTGTTTGGCTGATCACAAATCAACTTGCAAATTCCAGTTATTTTTTTCAAGTTGCAACTGATACATAAAGCACAAGTGTAGCATGTATTATTGATTAAAATAAGGACCGGACACACAAATTGAATACATCATGCCTGTTTGGGCTCGATGGTCAGAAGACTTGAAAGATGAATTTCCTCTGTGTTGTTAGCCGTCTCTCCCCAAAGCCAGTTTAATAACATGTGACCTGGAAGGGGATAAAACTGTCAATCTAGATGAGACTGCAGAGAATTGGGTAACTGCACTAAACATGCATACACTTGTTTTATCGTTATTCTTTCATGTTCCCATCAATTCAAGAGAAATACTGCTTTGTTTTGATCTCTGGATTTAAAAAATGAAATAGATTTTCTGTTTGTTTGTCAGGTTGTTGTTAGTCATTTTTGTGTTTTAAATAACATTGAGAGAATTTCAACTGAAAATTGTAGATATTCCTCAGGTGCATGAAATTAGATTTGAAACAGAATTGAAACAAAAATTAACTAAATCTTATAGCTTTTAGGATAAATATAATATGCAGTTAATTATTAAATATAATTATTGGGGGGTGCTGTGGTGGCGCAGGGGCAAAGCACAACCCATGTATTAAGGCCTTATTGTATGAGGCCTTAGTCCAAATCCCTCTCTTTGGTCCTTTGACCAAAAGAGAGGGATTAAAAGTTACTGCTATGAAATACTTGGAGGAAAATGCCATGGCGAGCTCACACAGAGAACCAGAATGTACAGGGAACACCCCTAACTTGGCCAGGAACTGCTGTCCCCGGCAGGTCTCGAAGGGGAGATTATATCGGCAGCACTGAAAGGTTGGCTAATAAATGTATAGAAATGTTTGTAAATATGTTATAAAATCTTTTAAATCACTTACCCCTATTCGTCTTACAGCTATGTGAAGATGTTGTTTGGTTCCACCTACTACAGAACTGACATTATCTATTCAGATGATCCCTATTGGAACGTAAATTATTATTTCGGGAAGGTCAGTTAACATAATCATCAAAAATCTGCTTATTTTCCCCCAAACAACAACAGACATTTTCTTCACTTAAGGTTTACGTCCAGCGGTCATGATGTAGATGATACATCATTATTTATGTATCATAATTACAGGCTTTGACTCTACTCCTGTAGTCGTGTTATTCTGTGTTGTGTCGTCTTGGTGTAATGTTTTCATCATGTCTTTTGACTGTAGGTAGGCATTTTATTGTCTTTCATGCAAATTACAAAACAAAAGCTGAAAACTAATGTTTTTCATGAAGATGTGTTATAAATTAGGATTTTTTTCTTTTTTAATATTCACTCATTAACTTTGAAGGATAATGACTTCTGTTTTCCATGCAGGTTTACACACAGCAGGTTTTGGCAGTTGAAATTTGGGATGAGGATGACCTGCAGCACGATGACCTTCTTGGATCTTGTGTGAGGTACCTAAGTCAAGGAGCCAACCGTTTCACCTGCACAGCTGAAAGTGGAAGATTTGAGGTCAGATACACTCTGACTTGTGACCCTCATCTGACTGGACAGAGGTGCAGCCAATATAAGCCATCTCCTTAGTGACAAACCTATCAGGAAAGGGGAAGCTACATGATATTAATTTCTCATGTTTTTGAGTTTATCTGAGAAATGTTTGATTTGTTTGATACGATCTTAATCTTCGTCTCTTTTGGATTGTTAAAACTTGTTAATTGTTTATGGATTATATATGCTGGGATTCTCTTATGTATTCTGTCTGGGATTCTCTTCCAACATGTCATGCAAAATATATTACACAATATTTAGTCAGGAAATTAAATGGCCACTTTGTAGCAACTATTAGAAAATTTTATTTTTATTCTATTATGAAGAAGGCAAGTGTGACCACATTTCAAATTAAAAGGCTATTCAAATACGAGTTGTGCTTCTTATTTCTTGAAATGTCTTTCACATAAACCTTCTACATAGAAAAAGTCAAGGTTTTGACTCCAAATGTTCGCTTTAAGTCCCATCATGCTGGCATAAAGCAGGCAGAGGAGACTGACAGAAAAACAAGTTAAATTTGTTCAAACAAAATCTACCAGGAGTGCTGCATAAATTAGTCCCTTAAACTTTTTACCAGACAAAACATTAAAAAAAAGTTAAATTTCTCATTTATAGCACAAACCTGAAAGAGCTGAAACACTTGCAAGCAAAAAAGAATTATAAAGTCTATCAGGATTTATGTTTATTTCTTTATGTTTTTACATATTTTTGTAATCTTTTTCATACATGCTTTACATTTGACACCTGTTATAATAGCATAACTCCACTATATATATATATGTGTGTGTGTGTGTGTGTGTGTGTGTGTGTATTCAGCTACCTGGACAAATTAAACTCTGTTCGTCAATCTGTATCTGATCGTTTACTTCTATTTTGTTAACAAAAGCGAGGTGAGAAGGTATGGAAAGGTCTAAAATGATGCTATGAATGTAGTAAGTGTACAAAATAAGTTGGGAGGTAAATGCAAACATCATGAAATTAAAATCAAGTCTAAAAGTTTAACTTAGTTATACAGAATAACAAAAAAAACAAAAAACTGTTTGTCCAAACTTCATCTCCTGGTTTGGCATGGTTTTACCATTACCAATTCCTTACTTGGATTTATATTTTTACTAGTTTATGAGGTCAACATTTACAGTATACAACTTAAATAGATCTTAAGTCAGTCACAAGGTTGTTTTCTGATAAGCCACTTGTTTGAATGCAAGTACTTGCATACAAGAATACAAGTACCAGTCAGTTTGGAAAATTTTCTACATTCAGTTAATTGTTATAAAATGAAAAGGGGATAATTTGTTGTTTTTTCGATGTTATTTGACTATGTTGCTCTCACTTGCTGGCTGGCATAATCAATCACATTATTCATTCAGAATGACAGAAGCAAAATATTACTCAAATTAAAGCCTAGAACTTGGACCTTATTCAGCGTACCCGAGCTATAATGGCAATGGTACAGGAACATTTCTGTGTGATGAATGATCAATAAATAAGACTAAATCTCTCTTTTCAACAACTATAATTACGTTTTTTTTAAAAACAGTGGGGCATTACAGAGGTATGCACATCATGACACATTATCCAAGCTGGCTTAAGTGTGAGGTTGGGTGATATTAGTGGGAGACGAGAAGCTCCTGTTGCTGCTGAAAGCACAGCACACGAGGACAAAGAACTGTCCCTGCCCATGTGCTAGACTCAAGAAACTTAGTCAGAATCACTCTGAGGACTCATCACCTTTGAAACAAATTTGAATGGGATAATCTCAGATGAGGTAACAAAATGCACATCACCTAATGCGGAGAGCTGCCGGCAAAAAGGAAGAAACCTGTTATGCATAGAATTTTGTAGCACTATGACATCGTGTGATTTGACAAGATCTCATGGTGCTTGTACTTGTGTGAGACACTGCAAGTTGTAGACAGAATTTACAAATGAACCCTGCAAGTTCACATCTTTCATCTTGACTTGTCCTGCTGTGGTTTGTGATAACTCGCATAAAACATCAACGGATGAACTGTGACAAGAAGCAGCTGTCCCCCTAAAAAACAAATGGCTTCTTGTTTACAGTATAAAAATATGATACCAAGATGCACTAAAATAACCCAGAAGCTAGTTTGTGCAAAAGATGTATCCACTAAATAACTAGATAAAAGGAACCCCACGCTCTAAGGTGAAGCAAACAAAGCTTGCCTCCTGAAATCCATAAAGCTAGTCCCTTACTTTCCTAGGCATTGTACATCTGTAATGTGCAATTTACCTATTTCTTTATTTCACTTTTGCTGGAGGCAGTTTAACAGGGTATATTTATTTCCTTTAGTAGCACAGGAGCCTCTGCATGCCTCTAATGGTTCTGTGTTTAGACTTACGGTCGGATGTATTTCTTACTGTCTGTTCAAAGTTTAATTCCACGCTTGAAGGAGCCTCTTTGAAGCGCCACCTGATCCCAGCCTTTGCGGAGGACATTTTATTGATAAAAACTTTGCCTTAGATTAATCCATTTGACTTTAAAACCAAATAATTTATCGATTAGAGAGCATATTTCTGTAAAGCTATTTTATGAGTTTACTTAAATCAATACTGTACACAACAAATATACTTGTGCTCCTCATGTCCCCTTTGGTACAGGTCTTGTTAATACAGTATTTACTGTGAAAAATAGTAGGTTGAGAGATGGCTATATCAACAGTCTCTTCATTACTTTATTTTTACTCACTTAAATATGTTAGGTTCAAATGTGAACTTTTTTTTTTTTTTTTTTTACAAATGTGATAATCATATGTATAGCTAACAAGCTGCTTCTTCAGACACATCTTGAGCACCTCTTAAAGCAAACCTTAGAGTTTAATGTTATAGATGTTCATCTGAGTATATAAATGTATTTTTGGAGATGTACTTAGTGATACATAATGTTTCTTAAATAAAGCATTTTATTGTTTAAGCTATTTTGTAAATGTTTGGTAGTGTCTATGTATTATTTAACGCCAGGGGGATAAGATAAAAGGCTGCCACATAATTTGATTGCTGCTGCCGAGACCCTGTGTAACCTGGGAAACATGGTTCTCAGCTTGTTTCTGTACCTGTTCAGTGTTGGGGAATAAACACTCAGTGGGTCTGCACCTTTTCTTTGCCTCAAGCCTCCTGCTTAATCCATCTAGTCTCCCAAAATGGTGCATCTGTGTGGACCAGGGTTAACGTTGAGGTCACATTAACCTGTCTGTCACTAGAGGTCCCAAATTTGGGTCCTCTCGTGACAGAGGTGTCAAACTCCAGTCCTCA